AAAACTTTTATTAGCTGTGAAATACCAGAATTGGAATTTTGGACCAGATTTGGTCCAAAATTCGTTTAAGGGATAATCCGTGTTCATTCACTTTAAGATGTGGATCTTTTTTAGTGGTGTAGAAACTTTGAGCTGTTGATGTTATTATTCTATAAAGGGTAAATAAAATAATCATTATTGGGATAGTTTTTTTGATTGATTGATCAAGCAATTGATTGATTGATTAAATATCAGATATTTTATTTATCTGGATAATAATACCAATAATTAATAATAAAATCGTCCAAAGATTTTACAAAAATTTTCTTTCATTCAATACAGTTAAGGTCAAACATTATCATTATTGTCATTATACTATGGCGAAATTAATTGATGGAAAAGCTATTGCAAAGTGAATTTATTTTATTTTATTTTATTTTAATCTGGTATTTCAATTTTATCCAAAAACTCATTCCCGGATTTATTAATAAATGTGTATAAAAGATCTATCAGAAGTGAAATAAGCGAAGAAATTAAAGAGTATCAAGCAAAATTTCCAACTTTTAGACCACATCTTGCCATAATTCAAATTGGTAAGAGAGAGGATTCTACTGTTTATATTCAACAGAAAAAACGTGCTGCTGAGGAAGTAGGCTTTTCTTATTTAATATATCCAATTATGTCATGTGATATATATATAGTAAAAAAAAAAATTTATAAAAATTAGATTGGAATTGAATTTAGCATATTCAAGAAAGAGGAAGATATTTCACAAAATGAGGTAGATATTCAAGTAATGTTAATTTATAATAATAATATGACGTCATGTTGATTTGATTTATTTTATTTTATAGTTGCTATCGATAATTGATGATTTGAATGAAAATCCATCAATTCACGGATTATTGGTGCAATTGCCTTTACCAAATCATATTAATAAAGAAGTTGTTACTGAAAAAATCAATCCTAAAAAAGATGTTGATGGGTAAAATTAATGACGATAATACTTGGAAATGTATACATGCATGTATTTTTATTAATTTAATTGATTATAAAATTAGTTTTCATGTTGATAATATTGGAAGTTTGGTTAAAAGAAATGGCGAAAGAACATTTTTACCTTGTACACCAAAAGGAATTCTTGAACTATTAAATCGGACTGGTAAAAATAATATTTGAAAATTTAAAAATTTAAATTTAATATAAGTTAATAAAATTTAAAATTAGGTGTTGAGATTGCTGGTAAATGTGCTGTCGTAGTTGGACGCAGTGAAATAGTGGTAAGATTAAGATTATTATTATTAATATAAATATAGTAATAAATATAATAATAAATATAATAATAATAATTAGGGATTTCCAATGTTTGCTTTGTTATCACATAAAGATGCAACGGTTACTTTGTGTCATTCTAAAACAAAGAACTTGGATGAAATTGTTTGTACCAATCCTTTCATAATTTTCTTTATAATGATCCTAATGATCATAACCTTCATCATATTAATAATAACTATTATTAATAACTAGGTTAAAACGGGTGATATTTTAGTTGTAGCAATTGGGCGTCCTGAATATATAAAGGGTGAATGGATAAAACCAGGTGCAATTGTAATTGACGTTGGAACAAATGCCATCGAAGGTCAATATAATAATAATAATAATAAGAATAATAATATTTTCATTTTCATTTCAATGAAAACTACTACAAACACATACACATTTAAATTTAATTATATATATATATATATAGATCTTACAAAAAAATCAGGTGTAAGATGGGTAGGTGACGTACATTTTCCTAGTGCATCACAGGTAGCATCGTATATAACTCCTGTACCTGGCGGTGTTGGTCCAATGACGGTTGCAATGTTATTAAAGAATACAATGGAAAGTGCAAAGAGATTTTGGAAAAATGATAAAGAAAGAAAGATATCTATTTTAAAGATTGATCCATTAACTCCTGTGCCATGTGATGCTGATATTGCGTTTAATCAACTTCCAAAACGAATAGCTATTTTGGCTCAAGAACTAGGCTTAACCAAAAACGAGGTTTGCTTAATTATTTCTTCAATAATAATAATAATATAAATAATGATATAAATATATAAATATTATATATGAATAACAGTACGAGTTATACGGAAGTTATAAAGCAAAAATAAACTTATCAGTATTAGATCGATTAAAGTCTAAAAAAAACGGCAAATACGTCGTAGTAACTGGGTAAAATTATTTAATAATTAATAAGCATCATTATTATGTAAACATTAATATTGATATTGATTAATTTACATATATAAAGTATAACGCCTACACCTTTAGGAGAAGGTAAATCAACAACCACAGTTGGTATAGCTCAAGCTTTAGGTGCACATCTAGGCAAAATAAGTTTTGCTTGTGTGAGACAACCATCACAAGGACCAACATTTGGTATAAAAGGAGGTGCAGCTGGAGGTGGTTATTCACAAGTTATACCAATGGATGAATTTAATTTACATTTAACCGGTGATATACATGCTGTAACTGCTGCTAATAATTTACTAGGTAATAACTATTTATTATTATAAATATTCAACATTATTTTATTTATTTATTTAATATTATTGTATATTATTTCTAGCTGCTGCAATTGATGCTCGTATGTTTCATGAAAATACTCAAAGTGATAATGCATTATTCAATAGATTATGTCCAGTAAAAAAAGGATTTCGCACAATTTCTCCTATTTTAATTAGACGATTGAATAAACTTGGTATCGATAAAACAAATCCTAGTGAATTGACACCTGAAGAAATTAAAAAATTTGTTAGATTAGATATTGATCCTGATTCAATTACATGGTAACTACATTTTATATATGCACATATACACTTTGTATGTGTGTGAGTAAATACTAACAATTGTTAAATTTGTAATCATAGGAAAAGAGTTATTGATACAAACGATAGATTTTTACGTCGTATAACAATTGGACAACATCCTACAGAAAAAGGTTTTACCAGGGAAACTGGGTTTGATATTTCAGTTGCATCAGAATGTATGGCAGTTTTGGCTTTGAGTACATCTTTATCTGATATGAGTCTAAGATTGGGTAGAATGGTGGTTGCAACTTCTAAACAAGATAAATTATCGATAACTGTGGATGATTTGGGTTTAAGTGGTGCTCTAACCGTTTTGATGAAAGATGCTATCAAACCTAACTTGATGCAAACTTTGGAGGGTACCCCAGTTTTTGTACATGCTGGTCCATTTGCCAACATTGCTCACGGAAATAATTCTGTGCTAGCTGATATGATAGCTTTGAAATTGGCTGGTATTGATGACGATGACGATGATGATAAAAAAGGTTATGTTGTCACTGAAGCTGGATTTGGTGCCGATATTGGAATGGAAAAGTTTTTTGATATTAAGTGTAGAGTATCTGGTTTAATCCCTGATGCTGTGGCATTAGTTGCTACTGTAAGAGCTTTAAAGATGCATGGTGGTGGCCCACAGGTATTTTTTTTAAAATATAAAATTATTATTATTATTATTACTATTTGGTTTTCCAAGTAATATAATCATTAATATTTTTATCAGGTTTCGCCTGGTGTTCCGTTACCTGAAGAGTATTTGAAAGAAAACTTAGAATTATTGGAAAAAGGATGTTCCAATTTAGTAAAACATATTCAAAATGCAAAGAAATTTGGATTACCTGTTGTAGTAGCAATCAATCAATTTACGTATGAACAATATTAACAGTTAATTTTTTAAACATATACATATATTATAATATATTGTCTATCTAAAATATTATTTATCATTGTTGCAAACAATAATAACATTTTTATTATTAATAACAGAACAGATACCCAAAACGAGCTTGATTTAATTCGTAAGATTGCAATAGAATCGGGTGCCAAAGATGCATTACCATCAACACATTGGTCTCATGGTGGTAAAGGTGCATTGGATTTAGCTAAAACAATAGTTGAGGCTACCAATTCATCATCATCCGATAAAAAATTTCAATTTTTATATGAATTGGATAAATCAATCGTCGAGAAGATTGAAACCATTGCAAAAGAAATGTATGGAGCCGATGGAATTGAATTAAGCGATTTGGCTAAACAAAAAATAGAAACTTATACAAAACAAGTAATATATATTTTTATTACATTTTCACTAATATTTTATATAAATAAATAAATAAATAATGGTATATATTTATTTCTTTAGGGATTTGCTAATTTATCAATTTGTATGGCAAAAACTCATTTATCATTATCCCATGATCCATTGCTCAAAGGTGTGCCAAAAGGATTTATAGTACCAATTCGTGATATAAGAGTTTCTGTTGGTGCAGGATTTTTGTATCCATTATTGGGCGAAGTACAAACAATGCCTGGTTTACCTACCGTAAATATATATTGTATATCAAGCGTTCTTTTATTATTGTTATAATTTATTAATATAATTTTTTTATGATTTTTAGAGACCTTGTTTCTTTGATGTAGATTTAGACCCTGATACTGGTAGAATTTCTGGTTTGTTTTAATAATATGAGGAAAGATAGACAGAAGCTATATAGCGATAAATTTAATATTCGCCATGATATTTAATGATTTGTATTTTTATTTTTATTGTGTTATTATTTGTTAAAAAATAAAGAATTATCAACGCAGTTTAAATTTTCCTGTGAAGAACTTGTTTAAATGTAGAGAAAAGAGAATAATAATCATATGATGGATGATAGATTTGTCAACGATTTTTAATTTCTGATATTTTTCATGTGTTTTGTTGTTGACGGAAGTGATAAAAAATTGGATATTTCAGAAGGAACAATAATAATAATAATTCATCAAAAAAGCAGGAAAAAAGAAATTGGATCACAATAATAATCAATAATTTTTGATTTCTCTCTTAGAAATAAGATAATTTACTTAAAATATTGATAATAATACATAATAATTAATTAATTAGGTTCAACAGTATGATAACTTTTTTCTTCTTTTGCTCTTTTCTTTAATTTATAAGATCTAATTACTATTACAAAATATGCCTTTAATTTGAAAAAAATATTAGGTAGATTTTAGTAAATTTGAAAAAACATCAAAAAGATTTTTTTTTTTTCAAAAAAATAGCTTTAAAAATAAAAACTTACCGAAAATAAAAATACAATTATGACACTTATTATGCCTATAATCAAACTAGTATTGAAAACTGTTCTACAATAGTCACTCCAATCCTTGCTTGTTCCAAAAGTGTTTACTGCTGATTCAAGACATGAATCAGTATAACTACTTTTGTTTACAAGATAATAAACAAAACTTGCAAAGTCAATTATTATATAAATTGCTGCAATTGCATATGATAAATAATAATATATATTTATATATTTATACATATCCTATAAAATTAATAAAAATAATTAATTAATAAAATAATAATAACAATCAAACTCGATATATTACATTACCATAAAGGTTATAATAATTAATCCAAGAGCTGATAAAATGATTGCAATTGAACTAATGATCATTAATGGTATGGTGAAATCTGATAATAAATATTATTATTAATTTAGAGCTAAATTCGTTGTATAATAAATATGATAAACGTATTTTTTACTTACAACTTTCGTAAGTGCCGTAAGATAATGCAAATGACGTCAAAAGATATATTCCATAAAGCTTATGTAAATAAATAAAAATATATATTAAATTTAAGCAGATATATATAATATACATATAATAATATTAACATTATAGACATTATAGAACAATTTTCTCTTTCTAAATTCTTTAAAGAAACCATTTTACTTACAAGCCATATTATACTAATAAGTACTACTCCAGCTTTAAGTTTTATACAACAGCAGCAGTATGTCGTTCTTGGACTTTTAATTTTCTCCATTTCTTTTTTTTTTTTGAAATTATATTTAATAATTCAAAAAAACTCCCAAGAATAATAGCACTATTTATAATTATTATTTATTTATCTCCGAGTATGGAACTTTAATTCCAAATATGGAAACATAAATGGTGACGTCGCTGGCTTAGCTGGCTATTACTAGCATTTTTCCGCGATTGTCAATTTTAATTTCTAAATATGAATGTTCAGTCGCGTGACATGTCGTATTAACGAAAAGTTATAGTTGATATTTAAAAAATCTTCAAACCTCAATTTATTTTTTATTTTTTTTTGCAACTATATATCCTCACCAATTTGACTGTAGACTCTTCATTCTCTTAAATAGAAAAATTTCGAGGGCGGTTATTAATAAAATGGAAAATAATCTCAAAGCTAAGTTTATCGTCAGATTCTATTTTTGATAATGTTATTGACAATTTCTATCACAATTTCCCTGCATTTATATTGGTCTTCAATAACATACAACCAATAAAGTAATACCAATCCATATGAAGGCCTAAATATTCTACATAATCTTAGCCTTGAAGTGAAAATGTAGCTTTATTTTGAATAGCGGCATCTCTAAATAGAGAGTTTCTTCCAACATAAGTTTCACTAGAAAGCTTTAGTAATATAGCTTTACTTATTTTAAATCCTATTTTGTTACATAAATTGTAAATTTGCTTTTACATATATACCAGACCTCCATAAATGCACCTTCCTTTGACCCGAAGCGCAATTTCATGGGTTGCGCGTGATACACAATATTTAATTGATAAATTTTACTAATTGACAACTTTGTATAAAAATGGGGATGCAAATATGAGTGAAATTTTTCGTATATTACATGTTTGTGTGATTTTCTATCTACTATTACTAAGATTTCTTTGAGCTCTATTCGAATCATTGGTTAGAATTATAATTAAGACTGAACAAGAAATTGTGTTATGGATAGAAGCATTGTTTTAATTAACTGCTTGTTTTTTGCGATGTTGATTAAACCTGGATATCCATGATTTAATTTATTGGAGAGAAGGATATTATCAACTTTTATTTCATTATATTCAGCATGCATTTGATGATTTTTGAAAATATCATCCGAAACTTTAAAAAGCAAACCTACATCACGAGTATACAAGATATTTCCTCCGCTTTTCAATTAAAACACATGGAAATTGCTCGAGTTAAAGAATAGCCGATTGAATAACTAATTAGTTCACATTTAAAGATAACGATTAACGAATAATATAATAAACACATTTTAAATTATTATTTCTTATTTACGAATTGTTGCATAGTTGAAGAGGCAAAACATTGTGAATTGTTTAGTAACCCTTTCTAATGATTAATGATTTGGCCAACCTTTAATTATTAGTTAGGAGCCCTTTTTAATTTTACTATATTGCTTGTAGGGAGGGACATCTCAAGTAATATAGTTGTGTGTATATTTCTTAATTTTCATTTCTATTTTGTGTACCTGAACTGGTAGGACAGAGAGTAACAGCTAAGAGGGTACCCGCCGAGAAGTGCTATTAAGATATAGAAAACAAGGAAAAGGTTAAGGACTATAGCTATATTGGGCTGAGAGCCTGGAACAATATAGTGAGGAAATCAGTGATTTTATTTTTTATTCTTTTAATATAATTTGTTGGGCACCCCGAGCTTACATGCTCACAATATAAATATTTATTATTTATTATTTATTATTTATTTAAAAGAAAAAAAATTAAAATATAACAATCAACATTATTATCATCACCATCATCAATGACAACATCAACAACAACATCATCCATCGTCAAGAAGAAAATCAATTATATCATCTGTCATCACCAACAACATTGAAACCTCCAACTTTTCCTTCTATGTTTTGATGACTATTAAAATTCATTAACATCATCATCATCATCCATATCTCCTTCTGCGATTTCTTTGGCAAGTTCTCTTTCTCGTTCGCGAAGAGCTTCAGCAGAATCCAATTCTTTACGGTGTGCATTGAGTGGAAACCTCATTGCCTATAGTAACAATTAATATTAATATTTTCCTTTTTCATTTAAATATATGGGCATGAGAGAATAGAATACCTTGACTGATTCATTATGAAGATTTAAGCAAAAACTAGTACGTTGATGAAAAGCAATTTGTGGTTCATTGGTTGAATAAATATCTGCATTTTCCTAATTTTTATAAATAAACTTTGTATAAATAATTTTAATCAATTATAAATAATCAACAAATATATATATAAATATCACATATACCTTTGATTTCATAAATCCTTTTTCATGATCTAAAGTAGCATCAATCACACCATCACGAATAGCCTAAACACTCCAAGAAAAATCAAGATTTCATTTATTGTAAATAAAATGAAGTTATACTCCAAAAAAAAATTTTTTTATCCTACCTTTGCAACAATATATTCAGCATCTTCCTCGCTGTCTAGGTGTAATTTGAAACAAATATCACGTAAAGATATTCGCGAGTATGATAAACTAATCATTCTAATTCCTGTTTTTATTACATTATGTCGAAGCCTGGTCATCACCATTAAATATTAACATTTCAAATTAGAAAAATTGTGTATATGTATGTATGTTAGCATATAGATCAAACTCAAGTGATAAAAATATTTTTACAAACCTTAAAATCAATGTATAATTTTTGTCTTTACGAAAAACTTCAGCATATTTTGCCAAGGCCTCTTGGAATTTTGATAAATCACCAATTCTTACAGCTGTAATCGATATAATAATTATAAACAATTAGTATTACTAAATATTATATTTTCTTAGAAAAATATATACGTATAAGCATTACCTTGAACAAGCTTTAAATATGGAACCAATGGTTTCTTTAATACAGGTTGTCTAAACAAAGCTCGTTCGGGAATCTCTCCCATAAGTAGTTGTACAATAATTGATAATTTATAAACCTGGATTAAAGGAAAAAAATCTTCTATTTTAAAAAAATAAATCGATAAAATAAAATGTATAAATATGTAATATGTAGATTACTGTTTGTTGAAAGCCAGCTGTAGTATAATTTTGAGGTGCTTTACGAATTGCTTGTAATAGATGAGTGTGTGAAGCTGTATAATCAAGCTGAATGGCCTTGATAAGTCCTTTTGTTTTTATTAAAAAAAAAAAGGAAATTAGGCATACAACATAAATATTACTTTATTAGAAAATAGTATTATTATTTTTTTGTCATTCAATAGTCAACCTAGGTAATACATATATCGAGCCTGTTGATTGTTAGCAGATGATTCCGGAAAAGTGGTCTTAGTGACAAGTTTGTCAGCTTGATCATAAAGATTATAGTGGAAATAATTTCTCAATAAAAGATTGAGTAATGTGGCCTATAAGTAGTAATAAATTAGTTCAAGTTATTAATCGATTCAAATAAATATTCGACAATAATAATATTAGAAGTCACACCTGAGTATCGTCATCATGTCGCAATGTAGCTGTTCTATGAGCTGCTAACAAAACTCTAAATAACAATTAAAAGAATATATTTTATGATTAGTTCAAAAAAAAATTTAATAATAATTGCAAAATAAATATAATATGTACGGTCTTATTTCTCCCAAATTTCCTGTTAACTCATAAAATCTTGCATAATAAAAATAAATACGAGCAGACAATTGATCCAAAGTACGTCGATTTAATTTTTGGATCTTTAGACGTGTTTCATTGGACAATTGAATACCCTAATAATAAATGGTGACAGCAATTCAATATTAAAAAAAATAATAATAATATGTTTGGGAGATATGACGAATGCTAAATTCACCTTTTCGAAATCTTTTTTATCCAATAAATATATCATCACCATCAAATGGAGATAAAGATCAATTTCAGGTATAATGTGTCCTTGACCACCACCATTTACTCCATCATCCATGTCAACTTCCATAATTCCAGACTCCTAACAAAATAAAATAAATACATTATTAGAATGCTTCAAATATAATAACAAAATAATGTTGAAAAAATCAAGCAAATAACAACAAACCTTTCCCAAATAACTTAAAAGTCTACTTTTATCAGCAGAATCTATTTTTTTTTCAAAGTTCAAATTATTTTATTTTTTTGACTAATCTGTATGTGTGATACTGTTTAATATTGATCTAAGATTGTCAACTAACCTTTTGGGTAAGCATCTTTAATGATTTGTGTTAAATTATCTGCATTCAAACGTTTACGAATCGATGCAGTGGTTCTAAGAACACGTGTAGTATAACGTGATTCAATAGTTGATACCGCTCTTTCAAGAAGTAGAAAATTTTGTTTGTGATCTATATTAATATAACAAAAAAATAGCATTATCAATTATTAGTATATCATTGATTTAGGTCTGCGTTTTTAAATTGCATAATAATTCATACCAGATAACACCAAAGCATCACCCTCTAGAGCTTTTTTATCAACTTGCTAATATCAATAGTAATATTAAAGATAATTATTCAATTAATTTCATTGATATCATTCTCGCCTATCAAAAAAAGATTTTTTCATTCTAACCTTCATTTTATTTTATGTAAGGTTTTTAAAAAGAGATCTGTAAATTCTATAATAATAAATTACTGTGTCGTCTGCGGATCATTCATTACGTATTCAAAATATTTGTAGATCATTTATTCTTTCCTTTTCATAATAATTTAGCACATAAGTTCCTAGATTAAAATGGGAAAATGAGAAAGGTATAACGTACCATGTAGGGTTCAGGCAAACCCCTTGCATCAGAACAAATAACTGGTATCCAACGTAGCATTGCCTCTCCACAACAAGACCAAAAATGAGGGATTGTGTGTCCCGATTAAAAATGTTGGCAAAATTTTATCAAAGAATTCTAAACATAATTGACGACAACAATTCGTTATGGCAATTCCTTCTTCGGAAAGACTTTTTCTGATCCAGGACAACAAATTACTTTGTTACGAAATAGACTTAGCTCACAGTCTGTTAATCATGTTATTTTTTTGAAACGAAACAAAAAATTGGTTAATAATTTAAAGAATAATCCAACATTCTATATTGTGATAAATAAGACACATCTATCAAAGTGTCACCCAGTCGTGTTTCGGACATGTGACCTAATCTCTATATTTGAACATACATTATGTCAAGAAAATCGCAAGTTCAAAAATTTCACCGCCAATATGATCTTTTGGGGTCTAAAAATTTGTGCGAAAAAAAAAAATCGTGCAACCAAATTATTGATATGAAAAAAGGAAATTTTCCCAACCTATTTTTTTTTGTTAAGATGAAAATATTAATTAATATAAATATTAACACTGGTTTTTGTTTGATGTTACAACACTGCACTCAAAGCATTTGAAAATTAGAGAATTGCCTGTGAAGTTTACCAGAGTATTATAACAAAGAAAGGAAAATCGGAAGAAAAATAATTTACTACTTAACTGTCATATATTATTAAATAATATTAATATGGTGAAATAGACGTTGTATTATCTTTCAATAAAAAAGAATTGTTTGGCTTTCTTGGGTTTTACTTCAATTATTTGCCCTTGTTGTTTTTTTGTAATCTAAGTAGATAACAATATATATATATTGTTACCTATCTATGTGTCCTAATCTGCTTTTTTGGCCACATGCGAACTATCATCAGGATAACTATGTGGCCTATTTTTGTCGTCAGATCACATGCTAACTATTAGCCACACTTGAGTGCGGCTCATTCCAAATTTTTGGCACATAGATGGGATAGTCTAGGATTTTTATTTTTATTTTTTGGACACGTTGATTAGGTAGTAAAAAAAAAGTGTATTCATACGCAACACGACAATGCATTCACTTTTATGACGTTATTCGATTGCAGGTTAATGAGATATAGTTATGTTGCATTTTCAACAACAGTCGAGTGAGGTGTATTTTGCGTTTTTGTTGTCAATTGGTGTTAAATCGGCTATTAAATCGGCGTTTAATCAGACAGTAAAAATATGTATCTATACCCCGCATTCAGGTTCCAAGATGTAACAAACGTGACTATTGTGAACCATGGTTTACGATCGACTTTATGTAGCACTTCAGGAAAAGCAATCTCGAAGGCAGAATGTAACTCAATTTTTCTGTGCCGTTTTCATGCGCATACTCGGTATATCAAAACTTAATTTGAGTCGTTTTCGTCTAAGAACAATTGTTTGCAATCTGTATTTTGCTTTATGCATTGCATTCTAATGCAAGAATGAGGCACATAGTGCCAAATAGTATACCTATTTGGTGACCCGTCAAAGCATAATTTTTATAATATATCTTTCTATAATAATTTTACCTTGGTGGTCCACCGATTTTTCTTAGAATTTTGATACTCCGAATAATGTACTCTTGGTGACCCATCAAAGCGCAATTATATATTAAAGGGTTTGATAACGATTATTATAAAAGTGTTTTATTGTTACTGTGTAACGGACATTTGTAGATTTTTATTTTTTGAAAATTTTATCGACATTTCTCTGATTTCTAGACGGATCGTCAATTAAGTTCTTTATAATCTACGAATCGAGCGTAAGGATAAATAATATGCCAGCTACATTTATCAATATTTGATGAACTAGCTAAAGCAAAATTATTTAATGAAGACATACATCCCGGTATAAGATACTATACATCTGCACAGGAAACTAATATTCTAGACATCAAATCTATACATGGGATGGTAATTGTTTTGCCTAAAACGTAATATGTAATTACGAAATTATTTACTGTTACGAAATTAATTACGCGTGACGAAATCAATTACGAACAACGAGATCAATTACGAATGACGAAATT